TGATGTCGTTGTCTCCTCCAGCCAGTTCAATCTATTGTGAGTAGATTTTGAGCCACTGCCTTGGTTCGGTCTTGCCATCATATTTAGAGTGGTTGGACGGTTTGAACTTGTGTGGTAGTCGTATTGAAGCAAGTCTGCTTGCAAAACAGGGGAATCTATCATGCGTCCCGGCTTCTCTGTACTCTGATTCAGCACCTCCTTCCAGCCAGCTGTCGTTTTGGTGAGAGTAGTTCTGTGGGGCTGTCCGAATGGGTGCTTCGCTTCTGATCTGTCTTGGTTGTTCGGCTCAGTAGTTTTGACTGTGGTCCCTTCTACTTTCTCTGTTGTGACTTCCACTTGGTCCAAGTCTCTCGAATGCAGACTTCCTTTGATTTTGATCTTCTTTCCTATGAGATGCTGACCTGGCGGGTAGTCTTGAACGGGTTCTTCCATCGTGTGTCTTTAGGGCTGCTGTCCGAAGAAGTTCCCAGAGCTATTCCTGTTGTTCACTGGGATACGAGGTCGTTCCGAGTTCTTCAAGAGCTTCTCGGATCCTGTTGTAGGGTGTGTTCGCTGCACATCCTTCTTTGACTTCTTGTTCTGATTTTCTTTTGTTGTATTCGGCCAGATCTGACTCATATTTGATCCAAGCTTCCTTGCGCTACCTAGCACGTCGCTGGCGTCCTTGTTTCAACTTGTTTCTTCTTTCTCTAGCTTGCCTTTGATTCTCGGTCTCACCATCGTAGCCCTGAGCAAAGGGTGATATGTTGGACTCATATTCATCTAATGACCTGACGTCGGGTGCTTCTGAGGGGATCAATGGTGATCGAGGACGACGAACCATAAGTACTTCCTGTGCGTGAACTGTTCTATTATTGGCGTTGGTTTCCATATTGTCGGAGTTGCTGATAACTTTAGTAGAGGCTTCAAGGTCGTAGATCGAGTCTCCTTCTTGGTAGGGTAGAATTGTTGTTGTCGTCGTACCAACCAGTCGGGTACTACTATCCTCAGGAATCGAGCCTGGCCAGTGGACGATGCAGTCTTGAGATGTTATAGTTAGTGCGAGACCTTCCTAACCTCCTTTTAGTGGCATTCTAAGCACTGGGTCGAGGGATCCTTTGAGCTGTGCTTGGTAAGACCTTGCCATGTTGTGGAGTCCAAACGGGAAAAGATCCGACTTCTTGAAAAGATTCTGAGTGCACTCCGAGTTATATTCTTGATATGTCGAGGCCGCGTTCTATAGCCTCATTGGAAAAGAACTCAGATTCTCGAAAGAACTCGGGTCATACTCCATCTTGGATGCGGAGCCTGAGTTCGAGTCGGATGTGCAAAGCCATGAAACCTGAGTTGAATCGGACATCACGAGCTACGTGAATCTTTCGGTGATTTGATCTGTCGTGGTCGCCAAAATAGGAAAGTTTTCATGGTGAACCGAATCTTTGAGAAGATGACTTTGGAGCTCGCCATCGTCGCCTGCCTCGCAGATCCGCAAACCAAAGATGAAGGTTGATCCCGTTGAGAAGATCATGTTGTCGAGGTCCATCGAGCTCTCAGATGCAAATTCACCGAAAGCCCCTACTTGGCACGCCAGCTGTCGATGTTTGACCACCGATAGCCTACCACGGGGGTCCCTGGGGCAGTATGTTTGGGCTTCAGCGTATGCGAAACTTGACGGTGAACGCAAGAGACAGACGATTTATCCTGATTTAGGTCCTCGATCGTGATCGAGTAATAGCCTATGTCCAGTCGGCGTTAGCCTTGCGTTGGATTGATTGTGTGTAGTTGTTATGTCAAAAGTCCCTCTGCTCTGCTAGGAACCCCGCCCTCCTTTATACGGTCAGGAGGTTAGAGTCCTAGTCGGTTTACAATGAGAGTTCCTAGTAGGATTATAGAATACTACTACTACTAGGATTACATGAAAGGAAACCTAGTTAGACAAGATCTTCTCTCTTCCTTGCGGGGTATCCCGTGGGTCCCGCATCGACACACGGTTGGTGTGATCTCGCTAGACTATAAGCCCCTCCGATGTACAACAATGGTGCGCAAGCACCGAGTGGTAAGAGGTATGCAAACCTCACTAAACACTAGGCCTAAAACTAGAACAAGCGCATAAGCGGTGGTCTAATCAACCTAAGCACTTCACAAAGCACCTACGCTAATCACCTAATGAATCACTAAGCACTATGTAAGTGGAGATCACTAAAATAGTGTATTAACACCCTTGGTATGTTTCCTCAGCTCCACAATACTCAAATGGCCAGTTGGGGATCTATTTATAAGCCCCACTGAGAAAATAGTTGTTGGGGATGAAACCCACCTTTCTGCTACTGACCAAACGCTGTTGTCATCTTGACCGGACGCGTCTGGTCATCCCTACCGTTGGAGCGGGTGCGTTGATCGGATGCACTGTCGAGTTCGATCACTGTTGATCGGACGCGTCCGATCGCACTGTCGCCGCTCTGGAACCTCTCTGGACTCGATCGGACGCTGCAGTTCCTGTGTCCGGTCGATTATTCGCCAGTGTCCAATCAATGATGAATGTGTTGCCGAGATGATGAATAGTGTCATCGTCGTGTCCGGTCACTCTTAGTCCTCAGCGTCCGATCGCTGCTGCTGACGCTGCTGATGCCGAGCATCTTGATCGGACGCATTCGGTCGCTATAAGGGCCATGCCCGGTCACCTCTGTGAAGCTCGTTTCCTTGCGATCTTGCGTCTGGTTTGGTTTCTATCTTCGTGCTTGGACTTTGCTTGATATCTTGGATCCTCTCTTGTGCTTCTAGGGTCTTATTTAAGGTATTGATCATCGGATCATCATGTCACCTTCGTCCAAGTCACGTCTTGCACCCTATTGAACTATAAAACAATCACTTGCAAATTCATTAGTCCAATTTGATTGTGTTGGTCATCAAACACCAAAATCCAAAGTAAATGGGCCTAGAGTCCATTTTCCTTACACACCTCACCCACCAAAGAGCATCATGACCACCAAGCAACCATTGGAGCTAATATATATGGATCTCTTTGGACCGATCGCCTACCTAAGTATCGGGGGTAACAAATATGGTCGTGTTATTTTTTATGACTATTCCCGTTTTACTTGGGTATTTTTCTTGCATGACAAGTGCCAAGTTCAAGAGAATGTGAAGATATTTGTTAGATCTCAAAAGGAGTTTGGTCTTCCCATCAAGAAAGTGAGAAGCGACAATAGAACCGAATTCAAGAATACTTTAGTTGAGGAGTTTCTTGACGAAGAGGGCATCAAGCATGAGTTTTCAACTCCATACACATCATCTTCTCACTCTTTATTTTTTTGTTTGGTTTGTATAATAGAATGAGCTGATGCATCATCACCTCATTCCTCACAAGCTACTAATCCATAATAGTACGAGGAATGTAGTCATCACACCAAATTTCGGAAATGAACTTATGATGCACCACCTCATCTAGAATGGTTTGATTCCTTAAACCAAACACCCTATTAAGGGATTGACTCATGGTGCACTATCTCATTTGAACGATTTGATTCCTCAACCAAACACCTTATAAGCAGTGGCAGAGCTCGTCAATTTTGAAAGCCTAGACCACGATCAAAGCATGTATACCACTAGCACCGGGTTATATAGTCTGCACGATGTAATACTAATAGATAACAAAACTAGTTCTTCTAACATTCATGGTTTTTGGACAACATCTTTTATTCTCCTAGTGCTTGTACAAAAGGTTGGCTTTGTGATACTGGTTGTACAAGGGTGTGTTGCTTCAGCTTATTATGGCTGTTGTTGCATCTCCACAATAACTTTCTATTGTATACAAAACATAAAGTAGCACCCGTCACAGCCAAAAAAAGTAGAACCGAACAGGCCCAGTTAACCTAGGAGGAGGAGAGAAAAAACTAGTGGGGATTGTGGCGACCGGCGGGCAAAGATGTGGATCGTGAAGGATAGGGATGGTACTTGGGAATCGCAGGTGCTCTTTTCGCACCGGTGGCGTTTGTAAAATAGGAAATATAGGTTTTGGATAACCGGAGATGAAGATAGGGATATGAAAATAAAGACTAGCATGCTCCTCCCATACCTCTACTTTTATCCCAATCTATTTCTCTTTCTCTATCTCATCAATCTCCATCCAAACTTGTTTGGGCCAGTTAGGATTAAGAAATTTGACCCAACGTATTTTCAGTCGAGCTAGAAATTCACGTAACTTCGAGAGATATTTTGGATCCCGTCTAAGACCGTGGCCCTAGAGTCCTAGACCCACGTCCGCTTCTTAGGCCTCGTTTAGGTGCGCCGATTCGGCGCCGACAAAAACACTGTAGCTACACTTTACAATTAGGCCCTAGAGTATTTGTTTTTATTTGGTAATAATTGTCCAATCGTTGACTAATTAGGCTCAAAACGTTCGTCTCGCAAAGTACAACCAAATTGTGCAATTAGTTTTTGATTTCGTCAACATTTCGTACTCCATACATATACTGTAAGTTTGATGTGACCGAAAATCTTCTTTTTATATAGTGCCAAAGTTTGAAATTGACGGGAACTAAACACCCCTTATTATTATCTATAACGGGAGACATTTTACGGTAGCTCGTGGTTTACGACCAGGCTGTTTTGAGTGAGGACGTATAAACAGCGACACACGGCTTGTCCGCAGTCTGCAGCGACAAAGCGCCGCCGTCTGCTTGTTCCGGCTAGGATATTGAAAACGCCCCCCACATCACATGGGCCTCGTGACGGCCCAGGACCACAAACCCACTCAAGAAACCTCGCGTAGCTTCGCCGCGCGGCGACACACACACACACAAAAGCCTCGTCCTTTTGCGTCACCTCGACGCCACATCTCTCCGAGCCCCACCCGCCGAGCCGCTGCCCCGCCCCTCCCCGCAATCAGACCCCAGCTGCTGCCCCGATCCGTCCCCCTCCCCCCACCGCCGACGCGCGATGCGCGGGAGCCGGAGGCGGCGCCGCCAAAACCCAAGCTAGGAGTGGGAGATTCCGATCCTCCACGCGCGCGCGCTCGCGCCATGGAGCCGGTGCCCCGGAAGCGCAAGGGCGCGCCCCCGGCGTGCTCCGCCGCCAGGTCCCTCCAAGATTTGGCCTCCCGCAAGCGCGCCTGCCGTGGTTCCGAGCCGCCGCAGTCCCCCCGCCGCGCCGACGCGGCCGCCCCCGCCGTGGTGATGACGGCCCCCGCGGCGAGCGGCGCGTCGGCGTCGGCGGGGGTCTTCCTCCCGGGGCGCGGGCTCAAGCGGAAGGTGGGCTGCATCGACAGCGCCACGCGGATCGGGCGGCGGAAGCGGCTGGAGAGCGAGTACGACCTCGGCGAGGAGATCGGGCACGGCAAGTTCGGGTCCGTCCGCGTCTGCCGCCCCAAGGCCGCCCGGGGCGAGGAGGAGTTCGCCTGCAAGGCGTTGCCCAAGAACGGCGGGGACACGGCCCACCGCGAGGTGGAGATCATGCAACACCTCTCGGGCCACCCGGGCGTCGTCACGCTCAGGGCCGTCTTCGAGGACGCCGACGCCTTCTACCTCGTCATGGAGCTCTGCCACGGCGGACGGCTCCTCGATGAGGTGGCCAGGGAGGGTAAGCTCTCTGAGCGCCGCGCCGCCAATGTGATCAAGGAGCTCATGGCCGTCCTCAAGTACTGCCACGAGATGGGTGTCGTGCATAGGGACGTCAAGCCGGAGAATGTTCTGCTCACCAAGGCTGGAAGGCTGAAGCTTGCAGATTTCGGATTGGCCGTGCGAGTTGCCGATGGTAAGTACCTAGAAAGATTGCCACTTCTATCTAGTCGAATTGGTTCTATTCTGACAATGTAGTTCCTTAAAAATGCTGCCAGATTAGTAGATAACAATGGTGGAGAACGAGAATTACTCAATATAGGAAGATTTAATCACATCAAATTCTTATGGTGTTGTAGTGGTTACTATCTTGTCGTTGTGTTCAAATTCTGCATTAGGAAGAATGGTTTATTTTGCTAATGCACACATAAAACTAGGTCTTTGGCAGGGTTTTCCAGTTCATGCTGCATTTGCACATTGTCACTAGCATTTAAAAGGCATTTTACAGGGGATTTGAAATGTGCAAGTTGTGTTTTCAGTGATGACTTGGTATCAGGTACTCATTCACTGTGTCATTTTGTTTTGTTAGGTCTGTCAAGAGTCGAAGTGGTGCTAATTTGGTAGTTGCAGTCGAGTTGTTGTCATCCGGAGGTAGTTGTTACTCCCATGGAGTTCTGGATATTTGGGTTCACAGCATCAATAGAATGACATCATGGTGGTGAGGTAGTCAGGTCATCGTTACTGCTACATGGGTCATGTGGTTTTAAGGCATTTGTGTGCTAGATATAGGCATATAGCAGCCTAACTGGTTTTAAGGCCAGTAATAATTTGCTCATCAGGAGGTGGTAAAATGTCTGTTAGTAGTTTCCTTGTGTATGTGATCAGACTAACACTAACATGTCTTTGTTTTCCTGTAAAACTATGTATGAAACCATGACGTGATTATATTGGATGAGCTTACCCTGTTTTGTTTCAATGCACTTATCGTTATACAAGGAATATGTTGAAACACAATTCCTTGCATATGGCAATTATGATCTTTCTTTCTAGAATATTGACAAATTGTTTGATCATTAATTTTCTTTCTGAGATTTTGTAGTGTCGCACAAATGGACCATTTGCCATTCGGTATTTTAGTCTATCTGCCATTAGATTCTGTGATATGACCTGGCTGCTATGTTAATATCTGTATATCTTTATTGAAACGTATTTACTTGAGGTTTGAGGTTACAAACGTGGTATTCTCTGGCTAGAAAAAACAAGTTGCATCTAGGTCAAAACTAGATGATGCTCTTGAAAATCTATATGACTCTTTCACTTGCTACAGGTTTGATGCTCACTAATATGTTCCTCAACTTTGAGCAGGTCAGCAATTGATTGGTGTTGCTGGCAGCCCAGCGTGTATGTGGCACCTGAGGTTCTACTAGGAAATTACTGCAAAAAAAGTAGATATATGGGCTGCTGGGGTGCTTCTGCATGTTCTATTGATGGGCACTCTTCCATTCCAAGGAAATTCTGTGAAGCTATCTTTGATGCTATAAAGACTGTCGAGCTTGACTTTCACAGCAGTCAGTGGGCATCGGTGTCAATGCTTGCTCGTGATCTCATTGGCCGAATGCTTAATCGAGATGTCTCTTCAAGACCCTATGCCGAAGATGTTCTCCGTAGGTTCAAGCATCCTTATAGCTTATGCTTCTTTGATGTGATTTCTCATTGACTCTTCCAATGGCTTTGAACACAGGGCACCCCTGGGTCTTATTCTACACCGAATGCCCGCAGAAAGCTGAATTCTCTGACCTATGGGGTACTAACAAGACTGCAACTCCCATGATTCATAGGGAGAGAGTTAGGTTTGATTACTGCGAGTCTTTATCTTCAGAATCCTCAACTGACAACTCTGAAGAGCAAGATGAATGCGGTATAGTTGACGCACTGGCGACAGCAATAACACAGGTGAGGATATCAGAGCCCAAGAGGACCCGGCTGTTCAGCCCAGCCAACGGGCTGTTGCCGCCAAGCAGGAACACTCTCCGAACTTGAGGAATCCGTGTGTGGCTTTCTGACTTGACCTACCTAGCCAGCCCCCTTGTTTGTATATATGAGCTCTGTGATTTTGTAGATGTAAAATTGTTTGCCGTGGTTGATGTTTTGCAATTTCTAGCTCGCTGAGGCTGTAATCCTCTGTAAATATATCCACTGTTGTCATCGTTTTTCTTTACATCGATGACACCATAATTGATTCGTTTTTAGTTTCGTTTGGTGCGCGTGGATAGTGCCATTGTTGTACTATATACTGTCACGGTGCGTTTGTGGGCTTCTGAGCGTCGAAAGCGGTGACGAAATACCCTCCTTGTCGCTAACGTTTCATTCCTTGTTCGCTGATGTTTGCGTTTGTGGGCTTCTGAAGCACAAAAACCTTGTTCGGCTTGCCCTCTGGGCCTTAGGCTGGGCATTCGGGCACAGTGGGCTGGTGAGAAAGGCGTAGGTGGGCCTATATGGTTTCGCCTTCAACTGTGATTGATGGGTCGGGCTACAATAACTGTGACTGATGGGCCGGACTACGATTAGTACTAATAGGACTGTTTCAGTTATCGGTCAGGGGGCACTGGCCCACGATCGGCCGGTCTGCTCCGGAACGAATTCTAACCCTGCTAGCTATATATCTCCGACAACACAACCACTACTAACGCGAGTACGAGCACCAGCCCGACGCCGCCGCTGCCCTCCCAAGTAAATACGTAACTATGAATATGAAAAATTGCATTTTTAAAAATTGCAATAATACAATGGGCGAACGACGGGAATTAAACCTGCGCATGGTAGATTCACAATCCACTGCCTTGATCCACTTGGCTACATCCGCCTCTTATCCAGCTAAAGGATTTTCTCTTTTTTCTATTCATTATTATTCTATTTATTCTGACCTCCATATCTCGATCGAGATAGTGGACATAGGATGACACTCTTTAAAATGAAAAAAAGGAGTAATCAGCTGTGACACGAATCGCTCGGTCCTCCTCCTCTCTCCTAACCGGCAATATCGTTGGTGGATAGAGAAGTAGGACCCGACCCCTTTAGGTTTTGCGGATCCTTGTTGATCCAGGTTTCATTTTCTCGTATCATTATCAAGGTGGTGGCGACGATGATTGTTTGGAATAATATCTCTCTGGCCTCTCCCTACCTCCAACGATGTTTGATCTAGCATCGGAGAAGGGCTAGTGAGAGTTTGGTTTGTCATATGTTGTTCTTCTTCGTTGACTTTTGTTGTGTTTATCAGAGTAAGCCGTTGGTTGGCTTTCGATACGGCAATCTCGGCCTTTTCATTTGATCTGTTCTACAGCAAGGTCCGACATCTTCAACGCGTTGTTCTGATCGTGAAAGATTGTAAGCCTGCGTCCTTTGGATGTTTTCTCCAGCCGATGTTCTTTCAGTGGATACTAGATCTCATTGTCAGCGACGAGTGGCTTTTTCGGTCTTCAAAGCCTTGTCTAGGGAGGGTGTTTGCAGGTGTCCCTTTTCTTTGTTGTCTTCACAGTGCGATCTTTAAACTCCGGCAGGCAGTGGATGTTCAAAGGAAGAAGAAGACAGATTTGGTCTTTGATGAACTCTTGGCCCCATTCGCTTCGATGAAAAAATAAGCCGAAACACTGTTCTAGCTGATTTGTTGTGAGAGAAAAACACTGTTCTGGCTAAAAAATAAGCTGAAAAGTACGGATTATAAGACAAGTGAACATGACCCTTATTTCTAGAGTGTCTTTTTGTCCATCATGTAACACCCGTTTGAGTATCTTTATTAAAAAATAGCTATATATCTTGCATGCAACCTATCCACCCCAGCAAAGTACTATTACATACAATTAAAATCCAATAGCACATGCAATTGAAATGACTACATCAGTATGACACACAAGCATTTTATTATCCACGTCAATATGCTATAGAACCTATTAATTTGCAATTTTCACAGCAACACGTGGGGTAAGCTTCTAGTATAAATACAGCCAAATCCAAGCATGCCTAAGCTTACCAACTGTCGGCAAAGCAATCACATCAGACTGATTAAAGATGGCGTCTTAATCGCCTAGCACAGATTTGCAACCAACGACGACTCTGTAGCGACTGCATGCAACTTCCTCAAGCCCGCTGAGCGACCACCACGGGTCAGCTTCCGACGACATGAGATCCGCCATCAGCGACTCCGGCGTGGACGAGGCCTCGTTGAAGGTCCTTTTGTTTTTTTTTCCCCTTCCAATCCAATCCAATGTACTGTAGCCTGTAGCCAGGACACCAACGGTACTAGTGAGCCTTATCCCTGAGACCCTGACGAGTTTGGCCTTTGCATCTTCTTCCTTCTCTGAAGGCACCAGTCATATCAGCGCATGCCTGCAAGTGCTGTGGAAAGAGACTACTGTAGCATGTAGGAGTAGAGTATGTATCAAGCTGCAAGGGACCACATCTCTCGCTCGGCTGTAGACGCAAAATAATGTACAAAAACTATAAGACGCTCCATACTTCCATGAAATGTGCTTATACTCCACAACAAGCACACAAAAGAAGGAAAAGGGAAACACATCTAGGGAGCCAGTAGTCCATCGCATGCTGCGTCTCGTCGTCGGACGAAGCGCAGACTTGACTAACCAACAGCTGATGAGCAAAGTAACAGTAAGCTGGAGACAGGCGCGCATGGTGGCGCAACCAGCGGGCATGGCAAGCAGCCAAGCCAAGCACTCTCTCCCGAGTGCGGAGTGCCGACCGCGGCCTCCCCACGTGTCACCCAGCACAAGAACAAATCCTACCACCTGACCCTGACCTGAGCCTGTTCGCGAGAGAGGGTCCGCCCGCGTCCCGCCTTTGCCGGCACGGGGGCAGGCGGCATCGGATCTGCCAACTCGGGTCGGGGGCGCAACAAGTGTTTCTGTGCCACCAGCACGCACTCTCCCGGTGCCCCTGCTGCATGCATGCGCTAAAGCTAGCTAGGAGTAGTAGGCCCGCGTGCAGTGATCAGTCGAGGCATCGAGCGTTTTTGGCTCGATTTGATCGGGGAAAAGAGAGCCAAAGCAAAGCCAGAGCTAAGCGGGGAGGCGTCGTGCTGCGCTACTGCTAGCTCTAGTCCTTTTGGCGAGGGCATGATTGCCGGGGGCGGAGGCAGGCACGAGCCGTCAGCCCTCAGCTGAGAGAAAGAAAAGGGACACGGCAGCAGCGCACCTGCGTCTGCGTGCGCTGGTGGGTGGGGAGGACAGGTGACAAGTGCGCCGAGAGGCCGACCGATCGAGAGCCACAGCCAAAGCATGCATGCATGCCATGAAAGCTACCGACCCAGCGGCTGGCTAATCATGAGCCCCCAGGAACGACGAAGCCCAGTCGGAAAGATGCATGTTGCATTGCATGGAGCATGGTGGCCTGGACGCCTGGTGGGCTGGTCGACCCACCTGATCTCGCACTCCCATGCTGCCATGCACTGCAAAATTGCACGCGTCGGCTCAGGGCATCCCCACCCTACGGGCTACCACTGCTACCCTAGCCTCCATAGCCTACGTAGGAGTATAGCCTAGCGCTCATCAGCTTTCTCCCGTCCCGGCCTCTCAGGCTCAGCTCTCTGCTCTCACCGCGGGATAGAGGAGCTTTGCCGAGTGACAGGGACACTCGACAAAGGCTCAAAGACACTCGACAAATGCTTTGTCGAGTGTAACACTCGGCATACAACACACGGTATTATTTTATCGGTAAACAGTAGTTTGCCGAGTGTTTTTTATCGTGCACTCGGCAAATAGTTTATCGAGTGTCAATAAACACTCGGCAAAAAGAAACTCTCGGCACAAAAATGATAACGGGATGGCATGGTGACAGCGATTTTGCCGAGTGCACGACGGAAAAACACTCGGTAAAGTTTCTCAAGTTTGCCGAGTGTTAAGCCCAAAACACTCCGAGTGTCATCTCTAAAACACTCGGTAAAGTGCTAAAGTTTGCCGAGTGCAAGACCAAACCACTCGGTAAAGGTTATAAAGTTTGCCGAGTGTCAAGACCAAAGCACTCGACAACGTTTACACACTTTGCCGAGTGTCACGCCCAATACACTCGACAAACAAGCGCGCAACGGGCAGATTTTATGGTCACTTTGCCGAGTGTCCATTTGAATACACTCGGCAAAGACAAAACACTCGGCAAAAAAGGTTCCCAGAATAACAGAAATTGGTTTCTTCGCCGAGTGTTTCGGCTCGACACTCGGTAAAGCGTCTCTTTGCCGAGTGTTACACTCGGCAAAGCGACCCTTTTTACTAATCTGTCTCGTATAACGGACCCCTCTCGATTCACAATAAACCATCACAATTCAAAATAAAGGTCACAAGCATAATTATATGTCACAGACATAATTGTATTTCACAGGCATAATAAACCATCATCATAATTTACAAACCATCATCACAATTCACAGTAAACCATCATCACAAGTCACAACTAAATCACAATAAGCCACAAAGGCAAATGCAATCACTGCGGAGGCCCTTGGTACCACTGCGACAAATCCGGGTCTTGAAACTGATTATTTGATGCCGCCGATTGATTCTGCACAAAAGAGAAGAGATTACATGTGTAAGCTGCAGATATAAAAAGCTCACTGCAATCAGAAAGTATTAGTAGTGTCTTGAAAAAATACTTACACGTAAGTATATATAGTACTAATAAAAAACTCACTGCACTCCGACCCATGCATGTTCAGTTAGTATATCTTACCTATTAGTACTAGTTTAAGCCATGCAGTGGGGGGCTTAGAGTTAGAAGCTGGAGCTGGCAGGGCCATGCCAATGGTAGTGCAGGCCATGCGCAGTAGCAGCGAGCAGGCCATTGAAGTCTGTGTTATTACTATTATAAGCAAAGCCACTTAAGCTCAAGGTGGTAGTCAGTTGTCACGCCTCGCCTTAATAACTATGAGAGTGTACTTTTGTTACTGCAGTTTTTTATGTAGCTGTAGCTACAGCAGCCTCTAGATTAATACTGGCAGGGTGAACTGCTTGTGATGTTCGCTGCAATATCTATGTACTAGTCCATCACGCGCGCCCTCGCGCGCGCCGGCAAATTACCTGGTTAAGGCGCAGATAAAAAATATGTTTAATCTTTGCATGTAAACAATATTATGAGTTTAATGTAGATATGTCATGCACAAAAACTAAAAGATTGGAGCTTTTTTTATATGGTGCAGGATACATCTACTCTGCATACTTTTGAAATCATGTATGCATGGTAATCATAGACACGACATTTTCAGATCATACACATATCTGAATTTCGCACCAGGGCGTTTATTGATTTACCCCCATATCAAGTGCCGATGCAACTGGCAAAAAAATAAATAAAATACATACCGATGGAACCGGTACATAGGTATACCAAATCAACAAACCAAGTATCAGATCTTACCAATAAGATGGTCGTAGGGACCGTTGGGCAGCGGCGTGAGCGAGGACGGCCAGCCCTAGGGCATGTGACGGCATCGTAGGCGAGGGCAGCCAGCTCTATGGCTCGTCGCGGCCTGGGGAGTGATGTCGGCCAGCCCTAGCTCCTGGCGAGGAGGCGGTAGGGATCAGGCCTGCCAACCCTAGGGCACGGCATGGTGGCGGCGCAGGTGAGGATGGCCGTTGCGGGAGGAGAGACGGAAGAGCCGATGAGGAACCGTGGAAAGAAGGGGGTGCGGGATGGACGAGCGGGAGCGCTCGAGCTCGGAGGAAACCGGAGGCTAGCGACGGGCAAGCGGAGGACCGAGGAGGCGAGACGAGAGGCCGGCCTTTTTTTTGTCGGAGGAGCCGAGAAGGATGTGGAGAGATATTTGTTCCCAAGCCAATGAAATGATGACACGCGGGGCCGGCTACAGTAATAAAAGGTGGGGTTAACCCAGTACGTAGAAAGAAGATCAGACGGTTAAAAATGTTTCTGGTATCGTGGGCAGGCTGAGCGGCGGCCAAACTCCGCTGCTTTGATATATAGAGATGCTCAGTATGTAGGTTGAATGAGTTCAAATATATTGAGTCATGGCGTTTCCTTTTTAGCTTTAGTTGTTTGTGGACTTTTTTATCATGGGTTTTTAGTTTTCATGTCTCTTTTAGGCCTAACATATCACTTTATTTTTGAATGCAGCTGAACGCTGCTAAAGTCATTGCTGTTGGCCCTGGTGATCGTGATAGGGATGGTAAGCTGATCCCTGTATCTCTGAGTGAAGGCGACACTGTTCTACTTCCTGAGTATGGTGGAACTGAAGTGAAGCTTGCTGAAAAAGAGTATGTTAACATATGCATGCTATTTTGATTTGGCACTATGTTCAAGAACGATACCTTTAAAATGTTATGTTTAAACTGGCATTCTGGGTGGTAATTTAGTAGTTTGAACTATCACCCAGTGAACAGCCAAGCGAGCAGCTCCCGTTCGTCCAGCTGAGTTTCTACTGGTAATACAGCATGGTATCGAGTTGTTTTGTTAAGCTGGTTGTTATAAACCATGTACTAACACCTCCTTTGTACCTGACCAGTTAAGAATCTAGGGATGTCACTTGTCTATGCATCCTGCTAAGTAGTTGTGGTAGTAGTCTGAAAGGGGAGTTTTTTTTTCTAGTATTCATAGGAGTATTTTCTCAACCAAGCTGGGGTGCCTTCATTATTTTTCTACATTATGCCATATATGAGTTCTTAACTGAACCCGGTGCTAGTTATTATGAAAATTCTTAGCTAAAGGCAATGTCAGTTTAAACATGTATAAATAAAGTTCTTTCAGGTTTGATAGTCTTGTTTTGGTACATAAAAAACATGTATAAAAACTGACTACCACCTTGATGGTACATAAAAAGCAAGTTAACTGAGAGTTGGGAGCTATCAAAAAGCTGTTAACTGAGAGTATTATCAGTATTATCAAAAAGCAAGTTAACTGAGAGTATGTATATATATATATATATATAGTGTATTCTATACTACAGTATGCATGGGTATGTATGTATGTAGTAAAAAACATCAACTTGCAAGGTAACCATCCATCTAATATCTTGGCATAAAAAATAATAATAAATAGATCTAACATAAGGTGTCAAGTGACTCACAGGAGTAGTTGTGGGTGGCCGAGGTGGAGGGCATAACACCGGTGGCGGTGGCAAAGCTTGACCCATACTCGATGCAAAATTCTGCATGTATTGGAACATTTGGTCCATCCTCAACCGATTTTCTTCCTCTATCCTCTGCATCGTCCGCCGTTGTTCTTCCTCCATGTTCTGCCGCTCGGCCGCCATCTTCGCCTCCATCTCCGCCATCCTCGCCTCCATCTCCTCCCGTTGCTTCTGAAAGCATCGAGGCCCCTAGTTGGGTTTCGGTGATTAATGACAATACAAGATTACTATGACTAACGTGTGTTTTGCAGAGGCAATTAAGTTAGGTCATGGTAATGGAGATCGATTGGACAATCAAGGTGGTCATGCCCCTACGATGGAAATCGTTTCGATCGTTTTGATTTTCAAAGGATGGACGACAAGATTAAGGATGGATTAGTTCTAAGTGTCAATTGGAGTTGGAGAGACACTTAGATTAGTTTAGGACTTTGTTTTTCCTTTGGCCGTACTATTAAGGGGGTATGGACGGGTAGCTTGACCTAGGTGAGTCTAGTAAGTTAGGTGTGGTGCACACTTGTTAAAACTAGCATTAGGCAGCTCCAAAATAGCCCTTAGATCCAATGTAGCAAACTTCATTCACATATGGTCGAGAGTTGGAAGTGAATAGAGGGTCAAATACTGACCAGACGCTGGTTTCGGGTTGACCGGACGCTGGCGCAGAGTCCGGTCAGTTCATTTGACCAAGGTGATTGCGTCCGTTTTGACCGGACGCTGAGAGGTCAAGTGACCGGACGCTGAGAGGCAGCGTCCGATCGACTCCAGTAAGGTTCCAGAGAGGGAAAATCACGACCGGACGCGTCCGGTCACACTGTAAACACTGGAGTTCGGGGTGTACTGACCAGAGCGTCCGGTCACCCCGTAGAGGCACATAACAGTTCGTTTTTCAGCCCATGTTATAAATACTCGCTCCACTCGTGTGTGGGGGTACTTTTGCTCATTTCAACAGCTGAGAAACACATTTGAGAGTGCCAATAAGAGTAAGGTCCTAGTGAGGTGATTGAGATTTGAGAATTCCAAAGAGAGCCCTCATTAGTGAGATCAAGAGTAGCAAAGTGTGCATCCACCCTTCTCATTAGGCTTGTCGTGGTCAAGTGAGAGTTCGTGCTTGTTACTCTTGGTGTTCGCCATCACCTAGACGGCTTGGTGGTGATTGGGAGCTTAGTGATCATCTGGAGAGCTTGTGGATGACCCAACTCACATTGTGAGCGGTTGTGGGTGATTCACCGTGACAGAGTGTCAAAGAATCAACCCGTAGAGAGCACTTGATCCTTGCGCGGATCAAGGGGGAGCTACACCCTTGCGCGGATGCTCCAACGAGAACTAGTGGGGAGTGACGACTCTCCGATACCTCGGCAAAACATCGTCGCGTTTCCTCTCCTCTCTTTACTTTGAGCATTTACTTTGAGCAATTCATTTCTTGTCATTTACATTCTTAGAATTGCCATGCTAGAGTAGGATTGGAACTTAGGTTGCAAGTCTTTTGTGCGGTAGAACAACTAGAAACACTTTCTAGGCACAAGGGGTTAATTGGGCTAACCGTAGGATTTAATTATTGCAAAGAAATTTAGAATTAGCCTAATTCACCCCCCCCCTCTTGGGCATCTTGATCCTTTCAATTGGTATCGGAGCCTCGTGCTCACATATTTAGGCTTAACCGCCTAGTGAAAGATGTCTCATGGGGATGGACCTCCTCCTATCTTTGAGGGGGACGATTTTCCATATTGGAAAATTCGCATGGAGACGTATCTAGAAGCTTTAGATGTTGGAATTCTTAGAGCCGCCTCACAAGGTTTCCCAAAACCTCAGGATGCCGCACACCCACAAGGCGATGAGTTGAACTATGAAAAATGGAATGCAAAGGCTAGAAATACCATATTTAGAGGCCTTTGTAAAGATGTGTTCAACCGGGTGAGGAACCACAAAGACGCCCATGCACTATGGTCGGACGTTTGTGCGCTCCATGAGGGAACAAAGAGTGAGCGTGAGGAACGCTATCATCTTGTCATGAAAAAGCTCAACTCTTTTGAAATGCTTCCTAAAGAATGTGCTAATGAGATGTATTCACGTTTGAATGTTCTTGTAGAGGAAGTTAATGGGCTTGGAATCACTCAAATGCAACCATCCGATGTTGTAAGAAAGATCTTGAGTGTCCCCCCCCCATTGACAAATATGGGCATATTGTGACCGTGCTACATCAAGGTGATCTTTCCACCGCTACACCGACACAAATCTTGGGAAAGATCAATGCTCATGAGATGTACATGCACATCACACCTCAAGATGGCTCATCCTCTACAAAGAACAAAGAAAAAGACTTAGCATTCAAAGCTAGCCAAGAGAAGGGCAAAGCAAGGCTTGAGTATGAGAGCTCAAGTGATGATGAAGTTGATGATGAAAGCCTTGCTCTCATGGTGAAGAAAACCGCCAAGATGCTAAAGAAGCTCAACAAGAGTGGTATCAAGTTTGATGGCAAGAAGAAGAAGAAGTTCTTCACAAGCTCTAGAAGGAAGCCAATCTCCGAGATGGATTGCTACAATTGTGGAGAACTTGGTCATCTAGCTCTCCAATGCACAAAGCCCAAGAAAGACAAGTTTAAGAACAAGAACAAGGGCAAGAAAGATGACTCAAGCAATGAAGATGAATATGAGAAGAAAAAGAACAAGCCATACAAGAAGAAAGATGGCAAGAAGAAGAGTGGAAAGGCTTACATCGTCGGTGATTGGCTCACGGACATTGATTCATCTAGTGGATCATCCAATGATGATAGTGATTGACGAGAAGGTGGCCGCTATTGTTATTGATTCTTCATCATCTTCACCGCCACCACCGCCATCATCCTCTACACACCTATGCCTTATGGCCAAAGGTGAATGAAAGGTATCACATGATGATGATAGTAGTGGTGATGATCATGCTCATAATGATGATAGTGATAGCGATGATGATGAATATGAGTCACCTACTTATGATGATCTTGCTAAATTGCTAAAGAAATACACTAAGATCATTATAAAGACTAGAGCTAAAATGAAAAGCTTGAGATTAAGAATGATTCTCTTTTAGCTAAATGTGACATAGCCGAAAAGGCTAGTGTTGAGCTTAGAGAAGCAAATGATGCTATGTCATCTAAACTCAAGGAGCTCAAATCTTCTAAGAAAGAGCTTAAAGATAAACATGATAAACTTGAGTGGGTGCACAAAGAGCTCATCACTATCCATAACAAGCTAAAAGATGAATATACTACTCTCAAGATTAATCATGACAATCTTGTTATTGCTCAAGAATTTTTACCCAATGAACCACATAATGCTACTAACGATGTTGTTAAGATTGATATAGCTACATCATGTGATGATTTAATTGATGAGAGCATTGAGCAAGGATCTAGTGGCAAAGGCAAGCAAGTGGTTGAGGCCGATGATTATAATGAGTTTGTCAAGCTCAAGAATGACAATGCAAAGCTCAAGAAAGATCTTGAAGAAATCAAAAGCCACAACACCATTGTGCTAGAAACTCTTGATCATGATGGTGACTTGATCCTTGAGAATGAGAAGCTCAAAGAAGAAAACAAGAAGCTCAAGGAAGAGAAGAACAATGATGCTCTTAAGGAAGAGAACAAGAAGCTCAAGTTGGAAAAAGAGCATCTCAAGATTGGATTGAGCAAGTTCACTAGAGGCAAGTATCTTCAAAGTGAGCTACTTATGAATACCGTCATGAAGATGGATAGAAGTGGCATTGGGTACATGGCAAATCAAGAGAAGAAGAAGGCTCAAGCTCAACAACAACAATCAAAGCCAAAGCCAAAGCCAAAGAGATGCTTTGAGTGTGGACAAGAAGGCCACTTTGCTCATGAGTGCCAAACTCCACCACAACAACCCTTGCCCAAGCATGCTAGACCCTTTGCCTTCAATGCTCACTACATGCTTAGAAAGGATTTTAGTGGAAAGATGAAAGTGATGTTCTTAGGACCTCCAAATAAGAATAGGCCTAAGAAAATTTGGGTTGCAAAGTCACTTGTTGAGAAGGTGAAGGGCCCTCTACAAGTTTGGGTTCCTAAAGCTTGATCTCTTGTGTGTAGGTGAACTACAAGACCGGTGGAAGTCATTGGGTTATTGATAGTGGTTGCACACAACATATGACCGGTGATCCTCGTATG